ATATCTAGAAGCAAGATTACAAAATTCTCTCTCAATCTAGTCTCACATTTTGCCTTTACTTGTCTAAAGTCCAATTGTACCAATTCACTAGTCAAACCTTGTTAACTTCCATCTTTGACCAAACAAAGACTATTTAAACGTCTTCATGTAGTCATGTTGTGCACCACACTTGATCGAAAGCCGAATATTTGAAACAGACTTAAAGATAAGTATCTGATTCATGAAAGACAATACCAATATATCTCATATGGAAGGAATATAACATCTCTTTTTTTTGCAAAAAGCATCCCTTATAAAACCATTAAGCTTTCATCTCAATTTCTATACAAAACAAAGAAAAAACTAAGTGAAGCCCAAAAAAAAAAAGAATGTACAAAAGCTACAATTATCATGATACTTACATTCATGGAGGGGACTTGAGCAGCAAGTCCTCGATCGATGAATACATCGAACGCGTTACACGACTGCAGAGGATCCCTAGTGTGGTCTCCGATTATCCTGTTGAAGAACTCGACAAGCATTTTGAGAAAAATATTCATGTGAATAGTGATGAGAATCGGGCCCACGGTCCGCACAAAAGGGCTCGTGACGTGCACAAGAAAGTCTATTTTGGCGAGCATGAAAAGGCTATCGAGATCGAGAGGGATGAAAAGCGTGAAATTTATAGAGGAAAGACGATTGATTTGAAGGCCGATGGATACATAATGCAGAAGCACAAGAACTTCGAAATGTGCAAATTCGATACGTTCAAGGCCAATTAAGTACGACAAAGAAAAAAAGTTAGCATGCGTGTATGTGTTTGATTAATATGTTAATGAAGTTTGGAATAAACAGCGTGCGTGTTTTTTAATATAATTGTTATTATTTCCGATCATGCGGGCGTTTGAAATATCACATGGTGATCGGGATTCTGTACTGTTTAAGAGAATGGCAAAGAAAAAAAAAACATGGTTTTTCGTTATAATTATCGATCTAGTTGTGTATATTTGTGCTTGTGTTGCTGGTTTTGTAGTAGCATTCCAAATTTTCAATAAGTTTCTTATATTAAAGTTTTACTCATGATCATGATAAAAGAAGAATATGAGAAAGCGAAAAGTTATGATAAATTGCATGGTCTCCAAAAGCGTCGTAGCTTTCGTTTGGAAATACACGTGAAATTCACATTCCAAGAGAATATATGTACAAACATTCAACTAACATGAATTCCATTCCGCGTGATGTGCCTAAAACAAGTTGTTTAGTTTTCATTGGCCTAAAGAAAGATGGAGAATATATTGAGAATGTATTCAAACGCTGAAAAACCGCGTTTTTCCACTTTTGAAATCGATTACGAACAAGGTTATTTGTAGGTTATTTTCTTTTGTCTAACTAGGCTAAGCTTTAAGATTGTGTAGGTTATTTGTAAGTTGTAACTCAACCTTTTTACTCATGAACTCGAACAAAGAAAAACGGCTAAGTATGTTCGATTAAAAGTTAACATCGTCGAAGAATACATATATTACACCTGATTTTGTAGCTAAATTTCATGATCTTTAATTGTGTCCCTATGTTAGGAAAGTGTACTAATCACATATAGAGAATGTTCGTTAAACGCAAATGAAAAAACGTGCGATTTCACTTTCGGATGAACATTCGAGCATTCTTGTGGTGTGGATTGCAAAGTACATAACAAGAGTTCTTTTCTAACTAAGCTATGATGCTTTTTCAATTTTTCACCTTCATATAAAGATGATTTACTCTGCCTAAAAACAGAGGCCCAAAAAAGAAGAAAAAGACAAAAGCTTCCTCAAAACTGATCAAATCTACTGATTATCTTATCTCACTCTGTTGGTATATCTTCTGCAGTGAACCTTCTAGAAGAAGACACCCTGTTGAACAATCTCCTCAAGCTATTCCTACTTTCTTTTCGCCTTCCGAATAATAGCTTTTCGGACCCGTCCGAAAACGGGTACTCGTCCATCACGAGGCCCGTTTCGAGCTTCTTCGAAACGGACACTATTTCATAAGAGTCCCATAGAGACTGACCGAAATCCCATCGGGTGCGCCCAAGACATTCTTTTTTCCCGCCGGAAAACGAGGCCTCGGTTTTGAACCGGGAGGGCCTTCCCTTGAAGAACTGCCGACGAGCATCGAATTCCGAGGCCGGTTTTGCCGGTTTCGAGCTGGCCGAGTGGCCGTGCCATGCTTGAGCCACGGCCTTGAGGATTTCAGTGTCATTTTCATCTCTTTCTTCATTAACCAGTTGTGTTTTCTTCATTTTTTTTTCCTTTTTTGGGCTAGTTTTATTTTGGTTGAAGATATATGGATGGAGAGGTCTTTTGTGTTCATGGGGGCCATGTTTTTATTGTGTTGGGTGAATTTGGACCTCATGTTAGATGTTTTTGAGATGAGGCACAAAGTTTGGCTGATTTTTTTTATTTTTTTTTTTAATCTTTG